TCAGGCCAGGTGCCGTGGCTCACATTTGTAATCCCCACACTGTGGGAGGCTGAGGCGGGTGGATCACCTGAGGTCAGGAGTTTGAGACCAGCCTGACCAACGTGACAAAACCCCGTCTCTACTAAAAATACAAAAAAAAAATAGCCAGGCGTAGTGGCGGGCACCTGTAATCCCAGCTACCTGGGAGGCAGAGGTTGCAGTGACTGAGATTGCACCGCTGCACTCCAGCCTGGGCAACAGAGCAAGACTCTGTCTCTAAATGTATGTATGTCTGTCTGTCTGTCTGTCTGTCTAGTCCAGGCCTCTGAGTGAGTCGGGACCCAAGGCCACCCCCACACTCCCTGAGAGAACCGGGGCTTCAGGGATGGGCCTGAGCTCTCCAAGGGGGTCTTTTCCAGGTGTTTAAAAGCTCCCAGGAGATCCAGGAGAGGCTTGTCCGGGCCTACGAACTCATGCTGGGCTTCTACGGGATCCGGCTGGAGGACCGAGGCACAGGCACAGTGGGCCGAGCACAGAACTACCAGAAGCGCTTCCAGAACCTGAACTGGTGAGGCCCAGCGACTCCTGCCCACCCCCAGCCCCAGCCCCAGCACAGAACAGGGTCACATCAGGTTCCGGGCAGGTCACAGAGCGCTGCTGCAGACACAGAACTCCAGGCCGCTTGGGCAATGGACCAAGGCCCTGAGCCCCTCCTTGCTGCCTGTCGAGCCAGGCGGTCCCTCCCTAGTAGGGTTGGGGAGAAGGTAAAGAATGCTGTTCCTGCACCTGGGAGGTGGCAGTCCGCACAGAGAAGCAAGCAGGGGTGAGGGAGAGTCTGCAGCGGTACAGCCAGCTCTCACAGGGTGATCAAGGCCCCTGTACCCTGGAGGGGCCCCTTGTGGTTCTTGTCCAGCCAGCTCCTCCCCACCAGCGGGACTCGGGGTACAGCCACCCTCTAGGTGATGTGTCAGTATCCCCCCCCAACCCCCATGTGTCTAGGGCCCACAGGCCATTTTCACGGGGACAGCGTGAGTCCTCCCCTGGGCCCAGGGAGGCAAATGGAGAGAAAGACTGGATCGTGGGCCAGGATGGGGAGACTCCCGTGGAGCTGGGTGGGAGTGCAGGCCAGGACAGGGTGCGGCCCAGCAGGAGGGGCCCCGGCCATTGACCTCTGCTGACCCGGATCTCCCACAGGCGCAGCCACAACAACCTCCGCATCACGCGCATCCTCAAGTCGCTGGGTGAGCTGGGCCTTGAGCACTTCCAGGCGCCGCTGGTCCGCTTCTTCCTGGAGGAGACGCTGGTGCGGCGGGAGCTGCCGGGCGTGCGGCAGAGTGCCCTGGACTACTTCATGTTCACCGTGCGCTGCCGGAACCAGCGCCGCCAGCTGGTGCACTTCGCCTGGGAGCACTTCCGGCCCCGCTGCAAGTTTGTCTGGGGGCCCCCAGACAAGCTGCGGAGGTTCAAGCCCAGCTCTCTGCCCCGTCCGCTCGAGGGCACCAGGAAGGCGGAGGAAGAAGGAAGCCCCGGGGACCCCGACCACAAGACCAGCACCCAGGGTCGGACCTGTGGGCCAGAGCACAGCAAGGGTAGGGGCAGGGTGGACGAGGGGCCCCAGCCACGGAGTGTGGAGCCCCAGGATGCGGGACCCCTGGAGAGGAGCCAGGGGGATGAGGCAGGGGGCCACGGGGAAGATGGGCCAGAGCCCCTAAGCCCCAAGGAGAGCAAGAAGAGGAAGCTGGAGCTGAGCCGGCGGGAGCAGCCCCCAACAGAGCCAGGCCCTCAGAGTGCCTCGGAGGTGGAGAAGATCGCTCTGAACTTGGAGGGGTGTGCCCTCAGCCAGGGCAGCCTCAGGACGGGGACCCAGGAAGTGGGGGGCCAGGACCCCGGGGAGGCCGTGCAGCCCTGCCCCCAACCCCTGGGAGCCAGGGTGGCTGACAAGGTGAGGAAGCGGAGGAAGGTGGATGAGGGTGCTGGGGACAGTGCTGTGGTAGCCAGTGATGGCGCCCAGACCTTGGCCCTTGCCGGGTGCCCTGCCCCATCGGGGTACCCCAAGGCTGGACACAGTGAGAACGGGGTTGAGGAGGACACAGAAGGTCGAACGGGGCCCAAAGAAGGTACCCCTGGGAGCCCAT